GTAATACTTCCAGAATTTGAACTTTAACCAAGCTGAACAAGATGGTAGAATGGGGGGAAGGTAGTGTTGATCGGGTCAGAGTAAATTTGCTGAACAAATGAAAGAGAGGCTGTGCACTCAGGTGCTGGAGGGCCAGCCTCCTACACAAATAATGGAGCGTAATTAGGCCTGCATTTGTGACCCTGGTGCCAAGGTTAGCATGAGGGCTTGGCTCAGGTTCACACTGCAAAGTTTCAGCCAGGTGGCCCAATGGGGCTTATCCACAGTGTGGTTAGACCAGGCTCAGGCAGACTAGGCAAACAGTAAACTGTTTGTTCCTCTGATTGAACCAGAGTGTGCGGGGAGAAGATGTCAACACGAGGGTGACATTTACAGTCTGCTGTCATCCAACAATAATCACCTGTGTCACCACTATCATCCTAATCCCTGCTACACTTAACAGACCCTCAAGGAGAATAAATCTTCTCTGCGTGAATAGAAATAAATTAACTATTTTCTGCATGTTTTTTTATAAGCTTCATGTTGATTTTATCATCATCATCATCTCTCTAAGCATGGGTGGTCTTGAGGGCCGCTGTACTACAGGTTTCAGACTGTAGTACAGGTGATTTACACACCTGAGTCAAATACAGTTGATATCTTCTAAAGATTTTTAAGCTCTGGACAGGAATGCTGATCATATGTTGATGCGAACTGGGTGTGTTGAAGCTGTAAAAAACCTGCAGGAAAGCATCCCTGGAGGCACGGAGTTGCTCACCCCAGCTCCAATACTCCCTTTAGAGAGCCTGTAAAAATAACAAAAGCTGTTTATTTCACTTCACACATAGTGTATTTGCTCTGGTCAACACACGGGCTGAAGCTTTATCCATGGAATAAATCATTGAATGTTCAAGCCTCATCTGAGGAGGTTTCAAATGAGAGGCCTCCCACTGTTCAGAGCCTTTGAGTACAGACCCCTGGGATATGTTGTAAAGACGACACCAGATTTTTCCTCCACAGACTCTGATCAGGCTAAAAGTGTGGTCCTGTGAAGAGGGCATGTAATGAGAAAAGCAGGTGAGCTATTTAACAAGAGTTTCGCAGCTATTAAAGTGCCAACACACTGGGTCTCCATGGTGATGAGTGTTGGGCGCATAGCTTGAGGAGAGTCGGCATTTTTGTGGCAGAGGCTTTTTAATCTTTGTTTTATTTTTGTAAGTCAGGCTGGAATATTAAAGTTTAAGTTGAAGTCATAGTAAATATTGAAACATGAATGGTGAAAGTGTGGCCTCTGATCAGCTGTGACCTGTTAGTTAAGTATGTCATCCAGGATATTATGTTGTGATCTTTGTATGTAAAAATGTGTCTTTCACCCTCTGTAAAACTCAGCTCAAACCGGTGCTGAAAATGAACCAACATTTCCTTACTGGAGTAAGATTACTGAACATTGTGCTTGAATACTCAAATGAAATTAAGATGAATAGGTTGTTGGAACATTTGTGAAGGAGTAATGAGCTATTTTCTGTAACTGAGATATGGAGAGTTAAGCTGCTGTGTGGAAACATGGACAGAAATTAAGACAGAAACAGATCAGTTTGGTTAATATAAATTTTCTGTCAGTCCTAATAATAATGATAAGGAGTTATAAAGAGTGGGGGTGTATATTGTAAGTATGTTTTTTTTTGTATGGAGTTATGTGTGGCTAAGAGGCTGAACTGAACTTTAATGATGTATGGACAACATGTGATTTTGCAACGTATTTGACAAAAGATTTAAAAGAAAAGAACAAGTAAAATAATTAAAATGACTCAATAAACATGCAGGTAGTCACCTTTCCGTGTGCAGCGGAGTCATTGGAACAGGTTATTGTGGTGGGCAGGCATTACCTAATGCCAGACGTTACCTAGCATTACCTAATTTGCTGGCCTTTATTCAGAAAATGTTTTTCATCAAGCCCATACTATTGGAGGCTGTAGCTTACTGGTAGGTTAATGCTGATAAATTTACTGATATTATCACATGACAGAAAATTTGGGAGGGTTTTGTTTAGAATAACATTTCCAAACCACATCTTATTGTTCTGCTGTATAGAAATGGAACCACAGTCTAGTTTTGTTGTGCTTTTTCAGTTTTGCCTGATTTGTGACCTCCGGACAGAGCTGTTTTAGATCATTTTCAAGGCACACTCATACAGGATGTGATGCACTAATTGTATTTACAAGTGCAAGGCCAAGACACCAGAGTTACTCTAACACGATAAACACACCTGCCGGCTGATTGCAGCACAGCTTCACATTGTTTGTCAGTGGAAGTCTGCCGGATGTTAAATCAATAAACCACCTCACTATAAAAAGAAGTTGATGCAGTCAACAGACTGGAAGAATTTTACTCATTCTGGGCTCCAAAACTTTCCAGTTGGCTGAATGAATCATATATCATATATCATATCAGTGGTGTTCCAGGGTATTCTGAAGGATAGAAGATCTTACTCAGATCTGAGTGGTACCTAAATTATGTACACAGACACACACACACACACACACACACACACACACACACACATATATATATATATATATGCGCTAGTAAATTACCATCATTAATAACTCGGTTAGCTACACTTAATTTAGAATCAAATATTGAAAGGCTTTTTGGACTTTTTTAATTTTCATGTTCATAGTACTTTTTTAACGCGCCTGCATTCCTCTTATAACATATTCATCAAACATTCAGGAAAGCAAAAAGCATTATAAACCAAAACATTAACATTGAAGTCACTGACTTGATGCCACAAAAATATTTCTCATTAAAAAAACAAAAAAAAATGTTCAAATTCGTTTTCATTCTTTTTTCACAATTATTGTATCATCCAAATAGACAATGCTTTAACGAGTCAGTGTAGTTGAATTGTTCTCAAACCCTAACCAATGACCACAAATCAGACTTCCTTATGTTTACACGTGGCTCATTTCTATGCCAAAAGAAAACTAAAGTCACAAAGTGCATACAAGTATGGATGCCATGCTACATCAAGGAGGCAAAGTTGTAAATGAACATTTGGAAAGAAAACCTGCCTAAGCCTCATGAAGGAAGGAAACTGTAGTTAGGTCACTGGTTGTTTATGTTTGTTTTTGTTAATTGGAACATAAATTGAAACTTGCCTTTGAATAATCACAACTGCAACATTGTGATGTATATACATTTATTTTGAAGCCTAAAAGGGGCTGTGTAGCGTCATTACAACACAGAAGTTTGACTCCCTTCTGGCATATTGTTGTCCATCAACCCTTAGGTTATTATCAAAAGGAATATATTTTAAAAAACAAAACAATAAATAATTGTTAATTTTGCAGTCCATGTATGTGAAAAGGATCAAATGTCTTTGTATAATTGATATGTTACTGTATTATAAATATACAAAAAAATTAATACTTGAACCAATGCATTACAGTTGAATTGACATTCTAGCTTGTTTTAAAGAACTGAAATAAATAGTATACCATTTTACAAATCCGGTTGTTGTAATTTACAGTCCAATGCTGTGGGCCTAAATATGATAACATGAAGAAGTTGAGAATCAAACATGTTTAGAACTGAGATCTATAGGCTAGTAGAATTTTTGTCCTGGTCAAAAGTATATATTCACACTAGATTGACAGCTCTTTATGTGTTAATCAGTTCCCTATTTTTTGTGTCATATTATAATTATATTAAGCTTACAATATTATTTTATCAGGTATTTAGTGTTTTAAGTTTTAGTTTATACAGTTAGTGGTTAAATACACAGCCCGGAGGAGACATGGGTGGTAAAATGATGAGTGAAGAGGAAAAGGAGGTTTACCCTCCTAATAGAAATAAAAAACGCTTTTTTTCCTTAAATGTAGGTCTCCCGCAGACATTAACACCTTTTTAACTGCAGGCACCACTTAGTCTGATTCGATGAATTACATGAAACACAGGAGGGTTCTGGGTTCAAGTCCCCTGGTGAACTGGGACCTTTCTGTGTGGAGCATGACTGGAGATTCTAAATTGTACAGAGCAGTTGTGTGGTTGGTTGTCTCTGTGTTTCCCTGCAATGGTCTGGCAGACTGTCTAGTAGTCACCCATTGAGTACTGGGTTAGCCTTCAGTCCCCCTGTGACCCCATTAGGGAATAAGCAGTTACGAAATTGGAGGGATGGACAACCCTTTACTAAAATTCTGACTGTCTTATAATATTTGATAATGCTGATTATTAACTGAACTTATGGTAATCCACTTCATGTAGCACAGTTTACATGACACAGAGGAGCTTTGACTGAACATTGAATCATGATACATAACAGTCTAAAATTAGCTACTATGAAACACTTGATCATCTTAATAAAATTGATACATAACATACTGAAATAAGCTGCTATGAGACATTTGATAATCTTATTAAAACTAAAAACACAACCTTAGAAAACATATTTACTACAATGTATGTATGTACAAAAAATTAATTAAAGAAGTTTCAGATAAAACAAACAGTAGACCAACCGTTCTTATTTCCTTTGAAACCTGACATAATCAGACATGTTGCCATGCTCTGCCTCTCACGCCTGTGATCTCATTTACATCTTCAAGACCCCTTTTAACGCATCATCTTGCAACCTAATGAGCAAGAGTCTAGGAAACACTTCAGCCTAGTATGCAGAAGTATTTGTCCTTTACAATTCCATTTAATTTCATGACAGTGTGTCTTTCTGAGACAAGCACCATCCATTTGGGAGAGCTGTGCCAACCCTCTTGCGTTTACAATCTCAATGGATGTCAATTACCAGCAAACAGTAAATTAGAATATTAAAAGCTTCTCAGGACAAAGTAGTGGTTAAGATTGAGAAAGCTTGAGGTGTGTGACCTGGTGAGAAGTCTGCAGATGTCGATCAGTAGGAAGTTCCATGCCAGCCGGCTGCCTGTGTTAAACGTGTAGAAGGAGGAACAAACCTGGATCACTTTCTCACTGAAATCTCCACACCAGGGGTGCCCCAGACTTCTCATTTAATCCCACTTTATCCAAGAGAGGCGGGCTGTCAGATCTGGGAAAGGCAGGAGAAACAAAAGCAGTGCAATCACACAGGTTTATGCTCATTTTAATGACTATTTAACAAGTCTTAGGTCTGGAACTAAAGAAAGGACATACACTCATTGATGAAAAGCTTTATAAAGAGGCTTACAAGCAGATTCCCACCAAAATACTTCATTAAAAACAAGAAGGTAATAAGAATATAAGTACGCAGAGAAGCACACCTGGGTATTAAAGTTTACTGAAAGCTTTTTTAAGGCTTCAGGCTTAAAGTGGGTCTGTTCACTGTTTTGTTTTCAGCCTTATTTGGATGGTAAACAGATATTTTAGATTTAAAAAATTAGACAATTCTTCAGAGCTGAGACTTTATAAGCATTGATGAGTCAGACAATGTCTCATTCAGATTTCCTTTGAAAGGAAAATAAATTATTATAGTTCTCCAAATGAGAGGAAAAAATAGATACCATTATATATCTATATTGAGTTTATTTAGTTGCAGACAGAATGAACAAAGATATTCCAAATATCTTCTCAATACTTTCAATAGCTTAACATATGCATCTAATAATATATAATGATAATATCTAATCCCCAAATTCAAAACATTTCCTAAAACACTGGGATGTTTGACCACTTTCAATATGCTGCAACTCCTCTCTGGACCAGAATGTGCTACAGTCTGATGCTGAAGTGATATGTTGAGAAAATACCCAATATAATTCTCATTCAAACTACCCTGATTTTTAGATTTAGATTGAAAGAAAAGATAATACTATGAATAAATGTTATTTCCATGCCTCTCTAATGTGGTTTCAACTTAGTTGAGCTGTCAGGAAGTAACATGGTTCTCCAAAGAAAAATCCGACTCCTCTCTAATAAATCAAGACCCTGGATTTAGCATTTTCATAAGAACATAAAATTGCATAAATAGTCTCTGCCTATGGGCCATCAATCTTTTTTCATTAAGATCATTTTCAGCCATATGTTGGCCATGTCCCAAGTTTTTTTCCCCTGTTTATGTCTCACAGCCTGAAATTAAACATGGCTGCATATAAACATAAAAAAGTAAACTGATAAGATCAAACAGTGAATGATATTGTCACTGGACTACATTTGTTTTCAATTCTGCATGATCATTTTTTATTGTTAATTATTCATTGTCTGTATACTATTGTTACATTTATTATCAGCTATAGGAGCAGGATCTTAATCTTTGGAAAGGTTTGTTTTTTAAACAACTATTTTTTTTCTTTTTACAAAAAACAAACCTCATCAACAAAGATCTAGGCTTGATATGATTTTGATTTCTCACTTCATTACAAATCATTCAAATGACATTACTAGATAAAAGGTGGTTGGTCTATTACAATGTCAGTTCAATTACATGTTGCATTTTGCACAATAAAAACTAAATGTCAGGTTCTGAGGTATTTAATTGTATAAATCATAGAAGGGATCTGCTATTCATAAATCATAGCTTCATATTACCATGCAATTTCAAGGCTTAAAGTGACGTCATTAATCCAACAGGGCAGCCACATCTAACCTGAAGAGTTTTAAAATGTTTTAAATATAAAGATAATATTTCTGAGGAAATTTGCATTTGTACATTCGTTTTCGAAATGCTCTACAGTTTTGCTTTGAACTGACTCAACTTTTTACATCAATCATCCAATCATAATAAAAGTATAGAACAGTAAAAAAGACTAATGTAATTTGTTTCCTTTTTATTTTCAACTGTGTCCAAAAAGGATTCAAAATTAAGGGAAAAAAAGTGTTTTACATTTTAGATAAATATCAGACTGTCCAGGGTGTACCCTGCCTCTCGCCAGTTGACCACTGGGATAGGCTCCAGTTCCCCCCGCGACCCCATCAGGGAATAAGCGGTATTGATAATGGATGGATGGATGGATAAATATCAGTTGAAGACAACATTTTTGACAATTTAAAAATGAGTGACGGGCTGATGAACTCACCACTTGTATTCCAGATGGCGTTGGTCTGATTCTTGTAGCCGTTCTTCATGCACTCGTCCACGTAAGCTTTGGGGTCGCAGCCTGACACGAGGATCTCTCTCAGAAGTGCGATGTATGCTATGGCCAGTCTCAGAGTATCAATCTTGGACAGCCGCTTCTCGTAGGGAAACGTCGGGACGTGACAGCGGAGCTCTTCGAAGGCAGAATTGATGCTCAGCATCCTCTTCCTCTCCCGGATGTTGGCTGCATGCCGCTGCACCTTGTAGGGCTGATGCGAGTCCAGCCTGCGCGTCCTGCGCTTAGTCACCTCCAGAGCTTCATCATCAGGGGAGCTTTCGCCCTCAGCGTAGATGCTCACGTCTGGTGAATGGACGTCGAGGTCGGTAAAAATCAACTGAGAGTCAGGAAATGCTGATTGACAACCGAAAGAAGACCAAGGGGACAACTGGCCGCTGGCCGCGGTGCAGTCCATCAGGAGGGAATCCAACTGGGACTGGCACTGGAAGTTCTGGTCCACTTGTTCCCAAAAGGCAAAGTCTGCATTGCCCTCCTGGTCAAAGTCGAAAAATAAGCTTATATCCTCCATGAGGCTCAGTAATTGTAATCAATTTCTTGACTGTGTATGATGAACAACCACAGACAGCAGAACTGACATTTACCTGTCTGAGTGTGTGATGTGTGTCAGCTTCACGGGAGCATGTAGATTAAATACTTCTTTTTCTCCATGTTTCCCGCCGGGTTGCTCTGGCCAATTGTAAAGGCTGAAAGGGAGCTCTTAAGATCTACTTTACCCCTCCTCGTAGAACGTCCACTGCTTTAAGAATGAGTAACAAAAGCGGCGAGAAGACCTCTAAACGATAAAAAAAAAGCGGGACAAACACGTGTGCAATTATAAACTTCCATCCAAGTAGTCCCGCTAATGTTGACAGAAAACACTCCAGCCGTGTGCCGAGCATCATGGCGCAGCAGGCCATACAGACCCTGCAGCCCTGAATGAATTGGTTTACCTATTGAAGCTCAGCTGACAACAAACAGCACTGTCACAAACACATGCAGGCCCTTTGTCAATTCCACATTGAAGGAGAATATAACGTAAAAAGAGCTTCATCTATGTTGAACCTTTTTGATGATTCTGTTGTCTACACATTTTACGCACCACAAAAGACCCACAAAATGCATAAAAGCTCCAATAATATTACCAGAAATCCTGCCACATAATTTGGGTCTTGTATCCACATTAATGCGCTCCTAATTTGCAAATGATATGACTGACTTAAAGGAGAAGAGGAACGCTGTAATTAGTCCGGGGTTTCATCAAATATGCAAGCTCTTACTTAGAGGTTGGATGAAGGGCAGCTTGGAGATGAACTCTAATTCAGCAAAGCTGCGTGTGTGCTGACACGTGGTTTTGATTCCGCAAAGTACTCGAGCATGCAAATTTAAAGCTTCTGCTATAGCTGCAGTGAACACAGACACGAAGCAGAAAGACCGGTTTAAGGAGGACTATCCACAAAGATGTGACGCAGACAAAGGACCGCTTAGCAGAAGAATCAGTCTCACAGTTGATCGAGAACTGCTACAAAAAAAAAAGAAGAAAAAAGTAGAATACTCGGCCTCTCGCCCAAATGACAGCTGGGATAGACTCCATGGATAGATCAGAACCTTACTGAACTATATTCACAGGAAAATAAACTGACCGTGTTCGTTTTGACTTTTGATCCGTCTTAGTGACTCATACTTATACAAAAATAAATACATACATGGACCGTTTGCCTACATTTGTTATTGAGAGAAGAAAGACAGAAAGAAAGAAAGAAAGAAAGAAAGAAAGAAAGAAAGAAAGAAAGAAAGAAAGAAAGAAAGAAAGAAAGAAAGAAAGAAATGTTCTTATTTTCCTTATTACTGTTGACCCTTAGATTAGTTTGCTATTTCCCTTTATTTCTATTTCTTCTCAACTTTTTAAAGTGAAAATAAAGAAGCCTACATCGTGTGGAGTCAATCCTCATCGGGTTCACTATCTCTACATGATCCAACCGTCATCCAATTATTGTTACAGATTCTATATCTAGTGGGAAAAAAACTGCTGTTAGGCATCAGAAGGCGAAGGAGGCTTTCCGAGGAACGGAAAGGAAAATGACAACAGTAAGAGCAAGAGAGCTCTTTTGTGACTAAATTCTACAATATTTAAACAAGTTAACAGTCGAGTGAAATCGTTCAATTTTTAAAAAACAAAATCAGGTTGCCTCAGTCCTTCACAAGAAGACAGAAGGCTGTCAGGAACACCTTTTCTCCAGCTGACGGGGCTTGATCTGGCTTCAGAACACGCCTGTCATATACAGCGTGGCTGCTTTGTTTTTTAAAAACCACTTAAAAAATGCCGTAAGACCAAATGGCATTGAAAAGAAGTGCCATAGACCTATTGTCTACCTATCAAACAGAACTGGGTTGGAAACAAACAATTTTGCTCATTCATTAACATACAGTCGGAAGTGATCCTCCAGTAATCTAAACTCCTTTCCAGGGCTTTAAGATCAGAGAAGGACGGCCCAGAAAGTCAAGTGCGTCTTGGCCGCTGTGCAGGGCCACATGGTCTCAATTACCACTGCGGTTTTGAAGCTGCTCCCCACCTGTGAGTTACAATGTAGAAAACAAGGAAGTTAATGAAATTGCAAGTTAAACACGCATTGAAATTGATCGACACTTTCATAGCCTTTGTATGAGTATGATCTTTTTTAATCTGAGGCTTTTTTAATATAGGAGGTTGGTGGGTCACATTGGGTTGTTTCATTTTGGATAAAAAGCGATTATGCTAAAAACCCGGGGCTAAAATGTTGCATCTCATCAGTCTGACTTCATTTATCCCTCTCATTGTGTCTTGACTTATACTAAATCTTAATGTCTGTGCTCTGATTTGCTTCACTTGACTTACTGTCTCCAAAACAGTTTTTCCCCCAAGCCTCACATTATGATACAACACATGCATGCTCATTTCACGCTTTAGACAGCAGACAGATTTTGACCACTCACCATTGATGCAAAACAAAAAGAGAGATTAGCATTACGTGGCTGCGTTCAGTGACGCACATCTTGTTTGTTTGGGTGCAGGGCTGATAAACATCTCGGATCTGAGAACCTCTGGGATCTGTCTTGGCTGCCATGAAAGAATGGCATAGCAGCCAAGTGTAATCTTTTGCACTGACCACAAACAGCCCTTTGATCCGAGCTGGGACTGGGCCATTACAATGTCACGGCACATTGAAGTGATATCTCAGAGCAGAGCTTACCCTTGACCACAGATTGGGACTCAGATTGCTCCGGGCCTTTACCTTTTAGGGTAAGCTGCAATCAGGTTTAATTCAATGAACAGCATGTACCTGGCATCAAAGTGCATGCCAGAAGAAATGCAGGAAATGTCTGGACTGATTGCATGCAAATCTTTCTTGCATGCCTAGTGTGCGTATTTGGGGTCACATTCATGAGTTGGGGTATCTTCGGGCCAACGGCAGATGTTTAATGTGTGTGACCATATGTACTAGTCATCTGTTATCTTAAAGACAAAACCAACTACTTTTTACAAATTGAATCTGAATCTTAGAGTTAAGGAACAGTTTCCTGGATCTCTGCCAGTCCAGTCTGAATTTCAGGCCCAGGTCTGGTCTGGAAAAAACATCAGTCATAAAGAGTACCAGAAGCAAAAACCCCTCTGGGGGCACCACGGATCTCCATGGATTTGCTTTAGCCTGAAGCTGGATCTCAGTCCCTAACGTCATGAAAACCCTTTCTTTTTAATGGAAGAGTGCATGTGCATTGAATGACTGCAGGTTGTATTAACATAATTTGACTTAATTAAATGTACCTGTGGATACAACACATCATAACCCTGCCTTTATTTTATTTTTATATTCATTAACCCATATCTGTCTCTGTGGATGAATAGAGAGGAGTGGCACATGGAGAATGTGACACCTGTAGAGTACTAGATGTCCAAGTGACATATTTCTTGAACCATGAGACTGACAAGATTAAGTCTGTAGAATGAAAGCTTTTTAGGTTTTATAAGTCAAATAGTGACTTCACATTTATCAGAAAAACCGCTACACTAAAAAGAAAAAAACAACTCTACAGTAATATGTTGCTTCTATGATGGTTGGTATAATCCTCCTTTTTAAACTCTCTTAAGATCACACAATTTTTTGTGACATAGATTTGTGACATTTTTTTCAAACAATTGAATATAAATGGAATATGTTTTGGATTTTGTTCGGTTCTTTGATTTGATAAACCATACAAGAACATCTCCATCACCAAAATGAGATTGAGGAAATAAAGTATGACCCCTTAATCAGATCTACCTCATGTTTCAAAACATATAATAGATGTTCATATCCTTTTTTTTTACTTTTTGAATTTGACAACTTTGAATAGTGAGGAGTTAAGAGTGTGTGTTACTGTCCTCAAATCCTGTATTCTACATTTCACTTAATATGAGAAGAGAAAAGGAACCCATCTCTTTGTGTCACATTAATGATATTTCCAACACTTTGGCTCCACTTTTCTCCACACCCATATCATAGCTTTAAGCCAAAGTACTGATAATAGCATCAGAGTTGTTTCCTCTGAGCTTCTAAAGTTTCTTCAGCTGCTCAAAATAAATGTCTTAACTCATTTCCCAGACTGTGTAGAATCCCAATGGCTAGTAAATTCTACATATACAATATGTGACACTAATAGAAATCAATCAACAATCACCGGATATTCATTAAAGAATGTATTCATTAGTAGGGCTCAGGTTTTACGGTACATAGCTGACTGATTGACAATCTATTGGCCTGATGATTTTTGTGTTTAACCTGTACACATAGTTTATGGGGATAGTCTTGCTGAAACCAGATGTGAGTGAGCTCCTCCTGCTACTCCAAATAGTTGGAACAACACACTTTGACTTTAGGGTCCTTGGGGATGCTTGCCTGATACTCAGGAGATGGTCTTAACAGGCACAAGGCATCTGAGGTCACTATAGAGACATGTCACTGGACACACTACCCATAAAGACATGCGGTTAGCTTTGTTGGACACCAGTTCACTTAAACTCCTCTTGTTCCTCCCCTGTTGTACAGATCAGCTGGATGGTACATGTGTTCCCAGCTCAACTGAGGGAAGTATTTGTTTTTTCTAATCTTTTCTGCTCAGTGTTTGAGTTGCTTTGAATTTCACTCAGGGCTGCAAATGAACACTTTTAACAAATTCTCTGTCTCACAAGCCTAGTGGTTTATACAAATGAAAGAAAACTCCTATTGCTTAAATAAAGAAAGGGTTTATATATACTGTAGGTTAAACAACATTCTGAACACTTGGAAGCTGAAGAAACAAGATAACAAAACTCACCTGTGTTTCATATAGTTGCATACGTTTTTTGTTATGGCTCTTATCAATTTAAAATGGTTTGGGTATTATTGTACAAACCCTTCTGTGTAACCCATGATAGACTGGCGACGTGTCCAGGGTTTACCCTGCCTCTCACCCATTATCAGCTGGGATAAACCCCCCCCATTGGAAATAAGCAGGATAGCTAACTGATGGATGGAT